GGCGCCGGCCCCCGCAGGCCGCTGTCCCCGGTGGGCCGCCGCCCTCTCCCCTCCTTCCCAGCTCGGTGGGGGCGAGCGGCCAGGGTCGGAGCTCGGCCCGCTTGGGTCGGGGCGGCTGAAGGGGCAAGGAAGCGGAGCCGCGGGCCTCGGGGAGCCGGGAAGGCCCGGAGCTCCGTCTGGCGGGAGCGGGGCAGAGAAACAAGCGACAAAATAGCCCGCGCTTTCTGCTCACGGAATCGCAGAGCCCGCGGGTTGGCCGTCGAGTCGTGGGGAACCAAGAAAGGGCACCGTTTCCACGCTGCAGGGAAAGGTGCTGCCAGAGTTTTAGGAGGAGACGTCATAAAAGATGGTAAATATATGGATAGCAGAGGCAGCACTCTTAATCAGTAGTTAGCACCTACATCTTACGTACTACTGACTGCTGGGTGTTACCACGCAAACTGCATTTGCATGCACTTACATATTGTTGTATTAAAAAAAAAAAAAACCAACCCAGAACTCTTCACATTAATATCTGTGTTCTGAAGCGAATCAGGAAAAAAAAAAAATCTGGTGTTATTTTGGGGGTCCTAATCTTTCCCCTCACTTAAAATACGCTGTTGGTTTCACTGTGTTTCAAAAGTTTTCATTTGTATGGATGTTACCGTTCAGTGGTTGTTCCATCCTCAACTTTTGTTTGCTTTTGTGGTGATTGCCCCACAACTTTCACTTGACAGAGACCAAATGTTAGGACATAGTCATTGCAACAATTAATTGTGATTGTAATTGATTAGGGCTGGCACCTGAAAAGTTATCTCTGAACTCTTTCATTGGTGGCTCCATCTGTTTTCAGAATACTGTTTAATCTTAACGGTAGAAACGCCACGTAGCTTAAAAAGGGAAATAATATCTATACCATAATTACATCCTGCACACAGCTCTCTCTGTCTTGCCTGAGGTTATGCAAGTCATACTTTGCCACAGATCCACCTGCCTTTCAGAAGGAAAGTTCAGTCTGTTTCTCCTCATTTCCCAACTTGGTCACCTAGAGGCTTGTAACCTAGTGGTGCTTGCTTGAGTTCTGCGAGAGCTGTGACCTCTGGAGTTTGGTTTGGTTGGCAGACATGTAAGATACTACATAAGGTGTAAAGTATGCAGTGAAGACAGCTATATGGACTTGCTGCTCTCTTTTCTTTGTAGGTAGGATGAGCCCTTGCCTAACTCTTAATAAATGACATACAGCGCAAGTAGAGGTGTAAGGATGTCTTTGATTCATTTTAAAATCAAAAGTTCTTCCTTCAGGCATATTTATTTCTCATGTGCTTATTGCCTAGAAAACCCTTTGTGAAAACCATTAGATGATGTATCATATAGATATCTAAATAAAGATGACTACAAGGATCACAGAGCAGTTAATTCCAGTGTATTTCATAGTCTTTTGCCTCGGAAGAGTTTGATACCTATTTCATATAAGTAAGTCCTAGGGCACTGTTTTATTTTTTGTGTGTTTTGATTATCCATTCAGTCAGGTGGGGCAGTTGTATTGCTTCACATTGTACTCGGTCAGTCACTTCTTACTGAAAGTTGGCTGCTAGTTAGGGAATGTGATTTTGTCTTAACGAGAGAGGCAGGTATTCACTGGCCACCACTGCCTTTCCAGGAAGACACTTGCAACTTTTCTGAGGCCAGGATTGTATCTCCCACAACAAATTGTTTGCGTGTCTTCCCTCAGGATGTAATCTTCACACCAGGTTAGTGGGACACACAGAAAACAGCATTATCATTTAAGACAAAAGTTAATGATGATCACGGGACTTTTCTCCTTTTTAAGAAAGATGTGGAGAAGTAATTTTTAACTATCGTTAGTAGCCATGGCTACATGCTATTTAACTAACAACCTAAGCAGTAAATATGATCTTTTATGAGACCTTAGAGCTTTTTTGTGTCATTCCCACTTCTTAATGAATGCCATTAATTCTTTTATTCTGATTGTGCCTGTTCTATTTTTTTAGACAGTCATGAATATAAGAACACAATGAGGATAAATGATACAGCATTGGAAAAAATTAAAACCAGAAAGTTTGTAATCAATTTTAGAATAATTAACCTAGTCTGCTAATTTACTTTCATGAATGAATGGAGCTGTTGAAGAAAAAACACAGATCCACAGAGGTGATGATTGTCCTCTCCTTTGAGTGGGCGTTTTTACATAAACACACGAGTGAAAGAGAGGGAAAAATCTAGAAGTATCCCAAGGACACAGGCAGACACAAAGATTTTTATCTTGGTCTCACTTAAATGGCTTTTAACCAGCTGTTTTATTTTATCCCGTGAAGCTCTATCTGCCTCGATTATGTTCCCGAAACGACCCTCTAGATGGCAGGAGTTAGTCATTTCACTCATGAACACTAAAATACCTTATTTTCAGAACGGGTAAAGTGACCTGGGGCTGTAATACAAGTGAATTTAAAAAAAAAAAAAAAAAAAAAAAAAAAAAAGATGAGAATAGCCAATTTAGAGCTTACAGAATTTCCATTAGCAATACCGGACTACTCTCTGGGGAACTATTGCCTACTATTGTTGTTTCAGAGATACATGCAGAAAGCAGTGGGAGTTGCCTACCTTTAAGGTGTTTTCAGTGACCTTTGTAAGAGGAGCCCTGGAAGGACAGTGTGTGTGTCTCTGAACTATCATCATTCCATATTACCTTACAGAGAATCAGAACTGTCATGTTTTTGCTTAATGGCCACTGTCTGTCTAGCTGAGAAAACAGGGCAAGACTCTGAGGGCCTCCCTACATTGCCCGACAGAGGTATTTGTCCAGTCAAGAGCTTGCACGACAGCACAGATATCAGTGGCAGTCTTAACCCTAAAGTGTGCTACCTGCATAGTAAAAGCTGTACACTAAAGAGAACCTTCAGTGAAAGTCACTCTTGTAAACTAAAGGATGCAATGACAGCACAGCCATCTTGGTTGGTATCTACATGTTAAAGGCGTACCCTGCACACGCATTGTTTTTCACTCCTGTTTCACTCTGCTACGCATCTCATAATTTCACCTATGCAAAGGGCCACAGGATGATAATAAATCAGAATCCCTCCAAAATAGAACATTGAAATTTTGAGTAATCTCTTTCCACCTCGCTCCCTTTTTTCATTCAGGTTTTGGAGTCATGTGGCAGGACAGAGCAGTAACTCTGAATTACATACTGACTGCTGGTCAGATACACATTTTTAAGGCAGTAAATTCACAAACATTTTAAACAGGAATAATTAATTGAAAAGAAGTGTTGGGAACAGTGTCTGAGCAAAGGTGGGCCTTGCTTTTTCCAGCGATGAAGCTGAGTGGTACCACTGCAGCACCATGTACCAGCTCATGGGGACACAAACCATCTTCAGAATTGCTGTGGCTCACTCCTTCATCTGCTCATCTCATAGAAACTCTTCCTCTCCAGTGAGGGCATGTTTTGGGGATGAACACTTATTTATTCCTTAAGCTACTCAAGTAATAATAAAGGATTCATGCCCTCTCACTTCTACTGTTGAATATTACTGAGATCAGAAAGGAAAATCAGGAAATTAGGTGTGTGTACAACCTCTTTCAGAACAGAATTATTCTGGGAGAGATAGGACCTTCATATGCAGTGACACTGGACTGTGCTGGATGCTAATGAAACATTTTTACTGCCTCTTGCTGTAATATCTCTGTCCCTTTAAAGATACAATAAAGCGTGTTAACTATCAACTAGAAATAAATACTGACCTGAGCTGTTGTAATTTACTTCTAATTTAATACACTGCAATTTCTTTTTCTCTAAATAACATGCTTGTTCTGATCTAATTAAGCCCCTATTACCTACCTACCTATTACTGTAATTATCTTCATTATTTCAATGTCTCCTTGCAGCATTCAATACATTTGCCTCCCTGGGGGTTGCATTGTAAAATGGGTGCAGCATATACCTTTCTAACTGACCTTTGAAATGGCATACATCAAATTTAATTTGTTTTTAAATCCTGGCCTTGCAGCAACTAACCTTAAAAGTCATGTCAATATTTGTTTGACGTAAGATAATTTTGTTTGTAGACATTTATCCTTGCTGATTTAACTACATAAAGAAAAGGGAAACAAAAGAAGCAAAAATCTTTATTGGTGTCTACTGAATTGGCATGTTCAAATATAATATTTTAAAATAGGTCTTCTTGAATTAGAAGGATTTTGTGTATGTGTGTTTTCCCCCTGCTATTATAACTGATGCTTACAATCATTAATCTTAGCCCTGGAGAATTGTTTCCCCTGAAATCTCTAAATGGTTGTTTTGTCTGGTCAATGTTTGGGAAATGTATCAGAAGGGAAAAGAAAAAAAAAAAAAAAGAGAGATAAAAGAAAAAAGAGAATTTGCTGTTAAGGGATTAGAACCCTGAGTCAGGGAGCCCACTCAGTTGCCAACTTCTTTATTAAAATCTATTAATCTTTCCTGTGATATTCAAGTTGTATATTTTCACATTTCCTCCATGACTTCAACAAAGAACTAAGCAGCATTTTATCATCGGTGTTTGTTGGGGGGTTTTTGTTTTGTTTTTTAAGATGAAAGACATGCACTAAAGCTAATGCTGGCACTTCTGTAAAACATTTAATGTGGTATCATATGTTAATTAAGATTCCTGAGGTGAGGGGATAGTGTAAGACTAATCAGTTACTGCTTTTATAACAGAAGGGGTAAGCAATTATTATTTCTGATGGACAAAGAACTTGCTGGCCGGTGGCAAGTTACTAGTATTATTTTTCCATGGTGAGATTGTAATGTTGTAAATTATCTTGTTTCTCTTCCCTCTGACCCCATCAAAAGGCTGGCACATGGTGATAAATTTGCTGCATATGTGACACTGGGAGGCTTTGTGTGTAGAAGAGGGAGATACCTGATAGAAGTAAACAGGAGCACCTGTGTGACAGAAATGGAAAAAATAATAAAAAAAAAAAAAATCAAGGTCAGACAGAGGATGACTGATGACAAGAATTTCTCTCACACTGCTGGAGGCTTGTCAGGTGGAAGTGACAGAGAAGAATGAAAAATGTGAGTGTTTTAATTGGTCACAGGATATGAGATTAATTCACCTAACTTCAGCTGTGTAATGATGAGCTTATGCGTTTGAACTTGTTGTCTGGCCTCTCCTTCTAATCAGCAGAGACAGATAGGCACCTGAAGGAAGGTCAACCATCTCTCTCAGGACATGATGGTCACTTTTTTCAGACAGCTAAAGCTAGGTGCCATGAAAACTGCCCAGGGTGCCTACCAAGCGTCTGTGCCAAAGGGAGTAATGTTCTAGGGTATACCGAAGGTGGTGTTTCCAACAGGGCTAGCAAAAACATAGTAGTATCAAAAATGTCTCCCAGGATATTTTCTGGAATACTTGGTACGATTACCTGAGTTCAGGCCTGATCTAAAATAGGAGCTGCACAGCTGCAGCTGTACTGCATGAGTGAAGAGATGTGTTACATAAGGATGCTAAAGCAGAGAGGAAGGAGAAGGAGGGGGTGAAGTTCCTATAGACTTCCTGCAAGTCTCCCTGTAAGCATGGACCAGTTAATACCTGTTAATCTTTGTTCAAGGTAAAGAATTCATGCAGGCAGGTGGAAGGAAATTTTGCCAAGGTCATTAGGAAACTTAAGAAACCTGGTGCCTAGGAGGAGGCCAAAACGATGTGCTGTATCTGGCAAAAAGAAAGATCAGAATGGGTTGGGGTGGTTTTCTGTCAGTTTGCCAAGTAACATGGGGGAGCAAAAGCCCATTCTGGCGGAAGAGCAAATGGGCACCACGGTGTGAGAGAGAGAGCAACAGTGGGACAGTGTCAAGGTTCAGCAACTGTAGTTGTGTGATGTATGAAGAGAGCCGAGGCTGTTTAATCTGGAGAAGGGAAGGCCAGAAAGATCTAATTGCTGACTTCAAGGACCTAACAGGAATTTATAGAGAAGGCAGGGCCAGACTCTTCTCAAGGGTGCACAGTGAAAGCATGAGAGGCAACAGTCACAATCTGCAGCAAGGGGAATTATGACTGTGTATGGAAAAAAATTGTTCAGAGTAGGAGTGGTTAAGGAAGGGAAAAGCTGTGCTGGAGCCTCACACACTGAAGACAAGAAACCTTCTTGTCATTTAGAATGGGTATTATTAAAATAACACAAAGAATTAGATTGGAAGGGACCTCTGGATGTCACCTAGCCAAGCCTCCTGCTGAAAATTTCCACATCAAATAAGGTTGGCCAGGGCCTTGTCTAGCTAAATGTTGCCAAGGATGGAGATCACACAACTGCTCTGGACAACCATTTCCCAGGCTTAACAACTCTCCCTGAAAAGATTCTGAATAGGAGGATCCTGTTGACTTCAAAGGCAGTTGGATTATGGCCTAGATGAGGCAGAGTATTTGTTTGCCGTCTTTTTCTGAAATATCTGTGCTAAGAAACTTAGAATTTCAGCTGTTCCATGTTTTTCCTCAGTTACTGAGCTGTGTGACAAGTTCCTCTTTTGTGTCACTTCTTATCTTAATCGCAATTTTTCTCTTTTAATTATGGCTTTTCCTTGTTCAGTAGAATTCGGTTGTAGAAATCTTATGCAAATGCAAACTGAATGGTTTTCCTGTCTAATTATAGCTCCATTTAGATGAGACTAATGTCAGTGGTACTGAGCACTGACTGAATTAAATACTGAATTTATTCAGCTAATGAAAGCTGAAGGACAGATTGTTTGCTTTACGGT